CTGTAAAATTGATTTAAGTTTTGCAGTTTCAACCAGTTAAACGAGAAATCTGATTCCATCATCTTCAGCTGCCATCACATGCTCCCAGCATCCTGGCTTTTACTGATTCTCTCCTACTCCTCAGCCACTGTTTGGTGAACCAACTGTTGGTAATCTTGAAGTTTTATCTGACCACTAGCTGAACTTTTTACCTCATAGGTTCTGCGTCAAAACAACCACCTCCACTTGCACTCAGTAACATTGTCCAATTTCATTTGCTGCTATAACTTTTATCCATGCATTTTTGACCTCCAGACTCGACTGTTCCAGTTGTGGGTGAGCTCTCATCCAGAACAACTTATAATTTGCTGCTTGCCAAATTTCTGCTCCACCTCGGCAACACGGTGGCTCAGCGGTTAGCACTGCTGCCTCACATCACCAGGGACCTGGGTTCGCTTCCAGCCTCAAGCGACTGTCTGCATGGAGTTTGCACATTCTGTGTCAGCTTGGGTTTCCTCCGGGTGCCCTGGTTTCCTCCCACAGTCCAAAGATGCGCAGATTAGGTGTATTGCTGATGCTAAATTGCCCATAGTGACCAGGAATATGCAGGATAAGTGGATTTGTCATGAGAAATGCAGGGTTATGGTGTGTGGGTCTGGGTGGGTTGCCCTTCAAAGGGTTGGTATGGACTCGATGGGCCAAACAGCCTGCTTCCACATTGTAGGGATTCTGTGACTCTCTATTCTAGTCTGAAGCAGGTCTCACTCACCAATGACTCCTGTGTTTGTTCCTGGTCCTTTATCTCCAATTTAAAGTTCTTAATGGTAATCGCTTTTTGGTCTCAGTCCTAGCCCATCAATGTAACTTTCTGTAGTCCACAAGTCTTCAAGTAATCAGCTTTTTTGGCGCATCGTTAGCGTTATGTCTTCAGTTATCTAAGACTCTGTGGAACTCCCTTCTTAAACTTCTCTATCGTTCTCTTTTCATTCAAGATTCTCCATTGGCTTTTGTCAATCTACCCTAACCTCTACTTCTGTTACTTGTTCACATTTTGATCTGTTTGCATCTCTAGAGAATCCTAGCGTGTTTTACTGCATTAAAACAAGTTGCCACCTTTACAGTACTTTATTGTATTAAATTGTAGTATGGAAAATTGATTAACAACTATTTGAACTAGTATATATTTTTTGCTTTTTTTCTCTCAGTCTTTCACATATGACTCAGCTGGGGTTTAGTTGGCAGTCTGGAATTCAAAGGTGATGTCAGCAGGTGGTGATCATGAGACTATGATGAGGTAAAGGCCCATCAGTTCACTAATGTCTTTTAGGGAAGGAAATCTGTGCTTGCTACATATGATTCCAGACCTACAGCTGTGTAGTTGATTCTCAACTGCACTCTATAATGGCCTAGCAAGCTACTCAGCTATACCAAACTATTACCCAAAAGTTAAACAGATAAACTGCGATGGTTCAAGATGACACTTCACAACATTCTTGAGCAATTCAGGATGGGTAACAAATGCCTGTAATGAATAAATCCCATTTTTTTTCGAATCAGGAGACAGAGAATTTGCACTTCAGTTAACCTGGCTGTTTGACGAGCTAAACCATATTTTTGTGACAGGGTTTTGACTGTACCTCAACTGAAATGAAGCCAGAGAAACCACTGAAAATCTGTCCATCAGTTTCCAGGTCCCCTCCCCTTCAGGCAGCTAAAGAGGAAGAACAAGTCTGCAGTGTTTCAATACTTCATCTTCAAAGAAATAAACAAAACAGTGGACCTTTAAGACCTCAGTGTATATACCCCTGTAGTCTTTTCTCGTGTGTCTGTGATTATATGAATAAATATGGTTTGAAATGCATTTCAGGTGTCAAGTGCTAAATATTTGTACTTTTGAAAAATAATTGGAAGAAAGCCTGTCATTTGTATCCTTAATGGTATAACATGCGAGTTGTGGGAGGGGGGATATGGTTTAAACACCTTTTGCACTGCATAAGAACACATCTGTCTTCAATCAGTTGGAAATTGAAAAACGGGAGAGCCGTCCTACCACTTGTCCCCTGTCCAGGAGCAGCAGACAGGTATGTGAGACCTAATTTGCTATATTGCCCAGAAGCTGCAGAAGGGCAGCAAGTCATACAACCATCTAGCTGCCTTCCTTGCCTCATGGACTGGTTGGTAGCTACTGTGAAGAGCCAGGGCTAGCACCCTCAAGATCGGCTGGAGAACTGCACGTGCCTGCACTCCATTGCCTCAGCCATTGTTCCTCAAGTTTGAAAGCATGGCAAAGGAGGGGTCTGGAACTTGGCAAGCATTCCAGGTGCACTTTCTTCAGAAGTCTCCATTCAGCACGTTCCAGAGGGTGGCTCGGCCCCTCCACCTTTATTCTGCTGGACTCCCTCTGACCCTTGGAAGATCATGTTAAACAAAGCACACTTGATCTGGCAAGAAGACCCTCGGCATCACTGGATCATTCAGAAATGCTCCTGGGATTGCCTGACAAAACCTCCAGGGCCAATATGCTCCACTGCCAAGCAGGCTTCCTGCATCCCAGCTGAAAAACCAGGGACTAAGATGCAATAGGAGGGAGAGGGAGAAAGTTTATTGAAGACAGTTTCATGGCACAGGTGACAATACACTGTATGTTATTTGCTATGTTTCCATAAATGGCACTGTATTGACCTTGCATCCAGTTGTTCAATTCTCTGAGTAGTCCGAAATGTAACTGTGCTAGAATGATGGACAATTTAATGGCCTCACAAGATGTACAATGTCTGTACTGTGAGCCCACTGCAGCATGTGGAAGAAGGAGGAACAGTATGTACACGGGGTAATGGGTTCTGCTGACACCATTGCCACTCGTCCTCTAACATCCCCATTCTTTCCTACAGTCTTTGTAGGCATTGTCTGTTCTCCATCCCAAGGCTTTACTAGCTACTAACCTTGACGTTTGGATGATTTTCTTTGTTAGATTGACTTTTTTAACTTTATTGTTTTGCTTATTACTGATTACATCGCTTAAGCTTTAACCCTTACTATTTTAACTCTTTCAAGAAAAATCCCAGCTTCTACAGCCTATGTCGTAACCAATGCCCCTCATTCTGAGAAAAACTCTCAATTTTTTTCTGCACTGTCTCTAAAGGTTTCAGAGCTTTCTGAAAATGTAATGTCTGTAATTGAACACAGTAAACCACTTGCATGAGGGCATAATATCTCTGCTTTTGGACACTATGCTTTTATTGTTAAAGTCCAGAATGCCATATTAACCACATTCTCAATTACACATCTTCAGTACACCACCAAGTTACTCTGTTCCTGTGCCCTCTTTAGAATTGAGCCCTTTATTTTATGTTGCCTCTCCTAATTTTTCCTATCAAATTCTACTAGATCATTCTTCTTTGCATTAAATTTCACTTGTTCCATGTAGCCTAGTAAATTACTCATCCTTATGCATTATGGTGTATATGCCGCCTTTGACACGGTTTACTACACCATCCTTTTCAAGCATCTTTTCTCTGCAAAATAACTGGATGGAGCACCTTGCTTGATTCCAATGACTTCTGCCCACTCTAGTACTACCAACTTCAAAATGCATCACAAATCTGTACATGGCTCCGTCTTATTTCTCATCTGCAGATTGTCTCTCAAAGTGTTCATCCGAAAACACATCTGGGAGCAGGGCCAACCAGCGTTCATTTACCTGTGTATTTTTTTTTGACTTTCTGAAGAACTTTTCTAAATACACACTTACTGCAGTGCCACCATTGAGACTGGCTGCTGTTTTCTGTTGCTTACCAAGTATGTTGACTTTCTCTTTGTTCTGCCTACAAGGGACGTTAATATGAATTGTAGCCAAGAGAGAAACAGCATCCCGGCATTGATCTTTCATTAGTCTTTTCATTTGTCTGTGTGGTTTGATGCCAAATTTGAGTGGATGTCAAATTATGTTTGTTAATACTTCATGAAGTGCCTTGGGACATTCCAGAATGCTTAAAAGTACTTAAAAATGAACTGTTTGTTTATTTTTCCATCACCGTATCTATGGATTTAAACTTGGGTTGTTGCTTTGATTATTCAGAGCCATTACAAACTAAGTTGGCTTAACAATTGTATTTTGTTCAATTTTCTTTTGCAATCTTTTTCAAAAGCATCAAGTTGCTAGCTAATTAATGGATCATATCATTTTAAGTTATTGATGGACTGGTTACTAATCACCTGAAAACATATTTAATCCAACTTTTGGTCACCATGATGATGCCTGTTTAGAGTAAGCTAAAAACAAAATCTACTTGTATGACAGCTATGTGGAGCATCCTCTATACATTGTTGAAGATGTGCTGTAAAGGCTGTTACTACTACAGTGTGAATTAAAGCAGGTGAATTTTTTTTTTTAAAAATCCAAGTCTGGTTTAAAAAGTGAAGATTAGAAATGGAGAGAAATGACTTTGAGAGCTGGGGGATGTTGCAAAACTTTTCTCCAGACAGTTTATGAATTGAGATTGTGCAAATTATTATTTAATTTCTTCACTTAACGTTGATTTAAAGCCAACTTCTATTTGAGAAGAAAAACGTGTATTGCAGTTGATTTAGATACTTTTGGTAGATTGTTTTGTTGGTTATTTTGTTAGAACACTTTTATTACTTCAAAGTAGTGAAGTTTGTATGGTGTTAAACATTGTAAGACCACCTTTTTAAAATGGCTAGATTCAATTACTGAGTTTGTGTCCTAATCACATCAGTGAGGTAAATTAGAAAACACTATGCCATTACCAGTAGATACTGCATTGAAATACTGTGTCATTGATAAGTTCCGCCATCCATTGCAGCTTGGTACTAGAATTTTTGCACTGTACCAAGCATCAGGCCTAAGTTAGGCAAGCAGGTATTACGAGCTGATTAAACAATGCTTGATAAGAAACTACAAATCCCTTTTAACTTCCTGTTTAAATTGTTTTGTGATCATCTGTTTTATGTCATTATATCAATACCTATAAAAACATTTGAATTTTGTTTTTGCACAGGAAACAAATCGCAAGACAGTGGCATTGCAGAGATGGAAGAACTTGCCGTTCCACGTAACATAAAAATAAGTAATATAACATGTGATTCTTTCAAGATCTCGTGGAGCATGGATCCCAAATACAAAGATCGTATCACACACTACTTCATTGATCTTAATAAGAAAGAAACAAAGAATTCCAATAAATTCAAACACAAGGTAAAATACTGTATTATAATTATTTACTTAATTCTGCATATTTTATTTTATACCTTAAAACCACAGTCTTCATTTAATTCTTTATGGACCCAAATTGTACAAAATAATTCACCATAGAGATTGGTTACAGTAAAAATTGAAACTTCCCTTGATGAGACAAACACTAACATTGGAAAGGTAGTTGTTGACTTATTAAGCAAACTCAAATCTAAGTAAAGATATTCATATGTGTATTGTACCTTGTCGCTATGTATTAAAGCTTCTAACTCAAGACTCTCTGAACGTTTATATTTTGTGCAGAATATATCCAGATGGAGTAGGTAATGATTTTTGACCCAGAAGCAGCACAGTAAGAAAAAGTTGTAATTTATTTAAAATGTTTAGGGAATATCTAATTGTTATAATAATGTTTGATAAAACTTTTTAAGATTTTACATTGATTATGAGGGGATCATTGTAATTTTCTTGGCCAGCCAGAAATATGTCATTCTTCACCATATACAGGAACCTTCAATGGAATATGGCTGCCAATGCGCTTGAACTGAGAGCTGAATTGATTGAGGTGGAATTTGAAATCCTACATACCAGAAGTCAGTTTGTGTGGAGAGTGATAAGAGTACTTGCTTGCATAAGATGCATCTCAATTGCTTAAACTCCTTAAAGTGAGATTCTCCTTTTTAACTGAGTGTCACTTGTCAGTTAAATCATGCTTAATTTTTAGTGATTCTGTGGCAAAATTAAAAAAAGTGAAAACTTGTTGGTAATTTCTTCATTTAGGAATTGTTTGGTAAATTTGGTTATATTTGCAATTTCTGTATAGGGTTCATAACAAAGTAAGATGAGTTTGGATTATGTTTGTACCAGAAGTGAGAAAAGCTGTCTGGAGGTCAGTCATCATTTGCTTGTCATTGGAAGGTAGCTTCATGAGGAGAAATTATACCCCAAATTTCTGCTTTTGAATCAAATATAAAGCATTATGTTGTACATAATTAACAGTGAAGCATTAAAACTTCAAAACAGGCATGTTATTCTGGAGAAAATTTAGGGAGTGTTTGCAATACAAGTTCTACATTGTGTTCTGTTTTAAATATTCTTGGGTATGATTTCAATGACGAAATGGTTTTGGAAGCTTTCATCTTAACCATTTAACTCTGGTTGCAGGATTTCAGCAGCCATTATTTTTTATTTCACTTCTACAAAAATTCAGAATTCTTCAGAGGAATTATCACTTGGAAATTCAATGAACAATGTTGTCGTGCGTGCTATGGAATTGGATTGATATCCCTTGCCTTCCTGGAAATTAGCATCCAGTAATGACCCATCATCAAATGTAGACCTCTTTCTTGTTTCTTGATTAGAATGGTATAGTGGAAGGAGCTTTAGGGAAATATCAGTCACTGTCAGTTATCTGAGATATTAAAAAGGTGTTGATCGAAAGACAGAATAAGCACTTGGAATAGTAAAGGTGTGTAGGAAGTAATGAAGTTCTCAACCAGAGGTAAATGTAATCAATAGGTTTTTAAGTATGATTCATAGAGTGTGCAGAGAGCAAGTATTACATTTAGAAGTGCATGCTATATGTAAGACTTCTGATACTCTGATTGCAAATGAATCATAAAAAATATTCATTCTCAAAGATTGTTCATACTATTTTACTCTCTAATGTCATAAACATGCTTCCACTATTGACGTGTTTCTTTTAGGAATCCAATCTAAATGATTGTGAAAATTGATTCATGTGGACTATTGAGGATTGGTTTCTTTTAACAGGACACTGAAAGGATGTTGAGGGACACTTTATCAAGTCCTCTTTCTGGAAGTCACATGCATTAAGTTAAACAAGCAGCCAGGGTTCATAACCTGTAGAACTGCTGGATTTACCAGAATTTTCAGGGTTTGATCTAACAGCTTGGATGTACTGGAAGTCACATGCCTGAGTTGATAGCTGTCAGAAGTTATGGCTATATTGGTTTTGTTTGGAATTCAGTTGGTGTAGGCAGTGAAGAGATTAGACCCCATTCTAGCCTTTTGTTGCCTCTCTGAGAAATCCTTCTGAGTGTTATGTGAAAATTGAAAAACTTAGTTATTCTCCCTGGAAAGTCCATAAGACTTCCTGTTGCCCTCTCTTGAACAAACTGTATTTGAAGATCCCACTGTGAAATAAATGCACAGAAGCCAGTGAGCCATCACCAAGACACATGTGCACAGTACACTGACTGTGGTCAGCCAGCTCGGAGTCATTCCCTGAACTGAGGAGATTCTGAATCACCTATTTATTTTGGTCAGCCAGGGCTTCTTGATTGGCCCAGGTTAACAACCTCAATTTAGGATCTCATAGTCAACGAGATCTGCTTGGTTCCAATCACTACACACTGACAATTATCTGTGTCTGGTGACATCCGTTTATATGTGCAAGGAGTAGAGGGATGAGAACGAGAGAGCAAGAGACAGTGCCTCTTGCCCAATCTCAGTCAGCAACAGTGTACATCAGTTCAGCAGCATTATAACCACGTTGCATGTGTTTGATATTATTAAAAACAGATCCAAGTCTCTGCCTATGTTGTAATACATTTTTGTATAAAATTGACAATAAATATTAGGACAAAAGCCAAAATAACAAATATTCAGAAATGTTTTTGGGATCTGGCAACTAAATGGTTGCTGTTTCTTGTAAATATTTTAGCTTAATTGAGTCATCAAATTATTTTAAAGCAAAACTTAAGAAGTAACAAACCGATATTTAACAATGCAACCTGGAAAGCCTGTCCAGACTGAAATTGCTGTATCAGAATGTAATTACAGTTATTGAAGAATATAATAAATACATTACTCAAGTCAAAGCTCTGGCACATCTATTAACAGACCGTCTGGGATTTCAGCTTGTAGTTTCAGCTCCCAGCCTTCACTGTACAGGAATAAATCGGTCAAGCGACAATGGAAAATTTAGACGTGCTTTGTTTTACTGGAATTGCTTCCTCTTTCATGCTCAACCCATTTCTGGTGGGCAGGGTAGCACCAGCGGTATAATGTACGTCAATTACCCTAACAGACTGGGATAGCAATAGTGGAGAGGCCAAAAGTTTCTCAAGATGCTTTTAGCTGAATGTTCTTGAACAGTACATTTCTGGCCAAAAGAGGAAGGAGGTATTACAAGTCTTGTTCTGGGAAATGATACAGATCAAGTGCCAGGGGAACAGTTAAGGAACAGTGATCAATTTTCATAAATTGGTTAAGAAAAAGAACAGAGACTAATATCGAGTAAAATTAATTTAAGGAACAGTTTTGGTGGATGAATCATAGATTTGACCATGGTAAATTGGAATTGAAGATTCACAGGCAATGCGGTAATCAAATAATGCTGTTGCCTTTAAGGGTGAGATGGTTGGGGTATAGTTGTGGTAAATTACGGTACCCGGTCTCACACACACACACATGCACACCTGTCTCGCTCCCTGGATGATGAGAGGTAGAAAACAAGATGCACCAAAAGGGGTGCATATTACAGATAGCAAGAAAATAACAAATGAGAAGCAAGCTGAATATAGAAGTGATAAAAGGAAGAAGAACACATTGAAAGAAGTATATTGATTGGAGAAGAGAGACCATTTTGGGACCAAAAGGAAAAACTGCTCATGGAAGTAGTCAGTATTATAGACTTGTGAAATGATAACTTTGTATCTGCATTTACCAAGCAAATCCTACACTGTAATGTCGTCACCACACTCTACAGTAGTGCATTGCAGATTTTTATAACTTGCTCTGTAAAAAGAGTTTTCCTTCATTACAGAGGTTTTTTAAATCATGTGGTTCTTAACCTTTCGGTCAATGGGAACTGTTTCTCCTTATCTGCTCTAGCGTGACCCCTCATGATTTCAAGCACCTCTATCTTAGCTCAATAGTTCCTTATCAAATGAGGACAGCTCTGGTTTTACAAAGTTATTCCCACAACTAAAATCTTTTCCCTGGAAGTGTTTGTGTTAATATTTTCTATAATGCTTTCTAATGTCATTGAGGGCATAGGTCTGGGTGGGATGCTCTTTAGACGGTCAGTGCAGACTCTGGGCCAAATGGTCTCCTTGTGCACTGTAGGGATTCTTTGATTCTATATGATGTAGTGAGTATTCCAGTTTGGACAAAGCATCAGCAAGTGTGTCACGTTAATATGTTAGAGATACTGTGACAGGGGCAATGACTGAAGGGTCTGTTTCCATGCCAGCTGACTCTATGACTCTATAGTAGTCAAATGTATGTTTATGTTAATGGAAAAAAATAGGAAGAGAAATGGCAGTATCAGAAGAATTGGAGAATGAATCAGCAATTGAACATTCAAAAGTTGATCCTGTACAAATCAGATTGGATAGTACAGAAGTACTTAAAATGTTAGATAGTATAATATGAAAGCTTCCTTTTTAAAAAAAAAACTAAGTGGCTTTCAAAGGCTATTACAAAATCCTGGGTCAATTTCTGTGAATAGGCCAAGAAAAGCATGGCTGTTCATGATGTTAATGTAGGAAATGCATTATGTATAAAAGAAGATCCTCTCCGATGTAATCCAAAGAAGTTAACTCAAGAGAAGAGATTAAGTTCATGATGGAAAATGTCATTATTGAATTGAGTCAATTGCTGGACCTTGGCTATCGTGATGGTACCAAAACTAGATGGATTACAAAGATTTTGTTTTGATTAGAACAAAGCTAATGTGGTAATGAAAGTAGACTCAATCCTATTCCACATTTGGAGGACTGCATTGAAAAATTGTATGATTCATCATCAAAATCAACGTGTTAAAGAGATATTGACAAGTTGCATTTATATTTTTTCAATGCAAAATCATCAGCAACAATCTAACGATTAACCAGTAAAGTTATTGAAAGACTGCGTGATTTCCATTGATGATTCGGTTATTTTCAGCCAAACGTGGGAAGAACATTTACACCATTTAACTGAACTGTTTAATCGGCTATGAAGAGCCAATATGGTATACGTCTGGCTAAGAGTGAATTTGCTAAAGAAAAAGTAACTAATTTGAGTCACACTGTGGGACAAGGCCAAGTAACATCTAGAGAAGGAAAAGTAAGAGCTGTTTTGGATTTTCCTATGCCTAGGACAAAATGCAGAATTTTGTAATGTGCTGTCATGATTGAGTTTTATCAGATTGGGTAGAAGGTGTTGTAAAATTACTGGGGGATTATAAAAACACTCGGCTGGGGAAACATGGAATGAGATATGAGTCTACTTTCATTACCGCATTAACTTTGTGCTAATCAAAACAAAATCTTCTTAATCCACAACTCAGCAACACCCTGCATGAAGTAGAGAAAGCCATTTGCAAGCTTAAGAACAACAAGGCTGCTAGAGCAGACAGTATCCCAGATGAAGCATTGAAGTGCGGAGGCAATGAGCTCCCACTGCAGCTATGCGCCTTTGTCTGCTTTATGTGGAAGGAGGAGAGCATCCCGGGAGAGGTCCAAGATGCCACGGTCGTGAGCATTTTCAAAAAAGGAAAGAAGTCCAACCATGGTAACTACAGGGGAATCTTGCTACTGTCAACCATTGGAAAAGTCATCGCCAAGGTCCTCCTCATCCATCTCTTCCTGGTGGCTGAGGAACTCCTCCCAGAATTGCAGTGTGACCTCTGGCTTTGGAGGGGCACAGCAGACATGATTTTCACTGCGTGACAGCTGCAGGAGAAATGCGAAGAAAAGAACCTTGTACATGGCTTTCTTCCACCTTACAAAAGCCTTTGACCTTGTCAACTGGGAAGCATTATGGAGTGTCTTTCTCTGCTTTGGCTGCACCATGAAGTTTGTCATCATCCTTTGCCTGCTCCACGATGACACAGAAGTCATGGTGACGACAAATGGGTCCACCACTGACCCATTCCAGGGTGCCAAGCAGGGCTGTGTCATCGCCCCAACTCTATTCTCAATCACCTCGCTGTAATGCTTCACCTCTCCACCGACAAGCTCCCCGCTGGAGTGGAGCTAATCTACAAAACCAGCGGGAAATTCAAGCCAAAACCAAAGTTGGCCCAACCAGTGTCACCAAGCTGTAGTACGCAGATGATACTTGCATCTCTACAAACTCAAGACAAGCTCCAGATCATTGTCAGCACCTTTACGGAGGATTATGAGAATATGGGTCTCACCCTGAGCATCCGCAAGACAAAGATTTTCCACAAACCTGGCCCAGCATTGTGGAGTGAGCCCCTGATCATCAGGGTTCATGGGGAAGCCTTGGAGAATGTTGGCCAATTCCAGTACCTCAGGAGTGTCCTGTCGACCAAAGCAGTTATTGATGAAGAGATCCAGCACCACCTCCCGTGTGCTAGTGCAGCCTTCGGCCACCTGAGGAAAACGGAGTTCGGTGACAACAGCATCAGATCTGACACCAAGCTCATTGTATACAGGGCTGTGGTGGTACCTGCCCTCCTATGTGGGTCTGAGACGTGGACTGTCTACAGCAGACACCTAAAGGCACTGGAGCACGACCACCAATGCTGCCTGTGCAAGATCCTGTGAATCCATTCGGAAGAAAGATGCACCAACTCCAGCGTCCTCAACCAGGCCAATAAGCCCAGCATCGAGGTACTGATTACTCTCCACTGCTGCAGTGGGTTGAGGACATTGTCCACATGACTGACATGAGACTCCTGAAGTAGGTGCTCTACTCCCATTCCAGAAACGGCAGGCAAGCCCCAGGTCGAGAGAGGAAGCGCTTCAGGGCCTCGCTGGTGAAGTGCGGCATTCCCACCAACACCTGGGAATCACCTGCAAAGTTGTCGAGCATCTCAAGACTTGCCATGAGGGAAAAATCAGGAGTCAGACAAAAACAGCAAAAGGAGCATGCTGCAGCCAACACCCTTCCCTTCTCTTGACCACCACCTGCCCCAAGTGTAACAGAGCCTGCAGTAGCTGCATCGGTCTGTACAGTGGCTTGCGCACTCACCTTGAGAATGGAAGATAGTCATCCTCATCTCCGAGGGACCGCCAGTGATGATGGTGATTTAGCAGGTTTTTCCCAACCTTCAACACTGCTGTGGTTCCTGTAATTAATTTGTTAAAGAAAGACAGGAAATTTGAGTGGACACAAGAATATCAGAGTGCCTTTGGCATCTTGAAAGCTGTGAGGACAACTGCACCAGTTTTAGAAACACCACGTTATAAGAAGTCTGGCTGTTGATGCAACGACATTGATATGGCTGCTGTTTTACTACAGAATGACAAGATGGCGATGGAACAGTTATTTTTCAAAGATATTGACTGCATGTCAAGAGAAATATTTGATAATTGAGTCTTTCATTGGCTCTGCATCATTTGAAAAATGTTTCTCCAACAATGTGGAAGAAACTTGTTTATATGATCACAGTTCTTTGGAAAAAATTCAGGACAAGAAGTAATGGCTGTTTTGGTGGAGCTTAATCTTAATCTTAATCTAATTAACCATACAATTTTAAAATTGTTCATGTTCAGTGCATTTGTGAAAGCAACTGTGTGCTGTGATGCAAATGACCTTACTGCAAATGAACTTGTGTAAATTATGGTTCCCATGAAACTCATTTTGTGCATTTGATATCAATATAGTACAACTGTTAATGTGACACAGAAATAGTGTTAGAAGGAGTTACATTTCTCAACAACAATGCCTTTTAAAGGTACATTTTTATTCTTCTTTGGGGACAGATGTGATAAAAGATGGATGATTCATAAATAGCTGGTGAAATATGGATTTTGGTCTATTTTTGTGAAAAGATTTACAAGTTGACTAGGTCACTCTTTCGTGAGCCATGATATTAAACCAGTGTGTGCTTCCTTGAGTCTTAATGGAAGTTTGTTTATATTATTTGGTTTTACAACAGAAGAGAGAAAACATTTGAAACACATTAATTTGCTTTTGTGTTTAGAATAATCAAAGATTGATTTTAACTTAGTATAACCAGAGATAGAAGAGCTTTTGGGCAGTTTAATGGTAACCTGATCAGGCCCAGATGTTTGTTAGTTCTCCTTGAAAGGAGATTGCTCAGATCAAAGCAGAGAATAAATTACCTCAGAACAAGTTCAGTTTGTGAAACTTCAAGAGTTTATTTAGAAACCCACAGATTATTAAAAGACTGAGAAAGTCTAAGCTTTCAGTTATAAGAATATTCAAGGAAAAGGTTTCACAGCTCATGTTGAAAGAGCTAAGAAAAAGGTGGGAACATTCTCACATTCCGATCACTTAATCTGAACAATTTACATGCTTTCTCCCCCAGAGCTTTGATGAAGAGTCATCTAGACTCAATGGTAGCTTGCTCTATCTCCACGGATGCTGCCTGACCTGCTGTGATTTCCAGCATTTTTTGTCTTCAGTCACTCTTACTTACCCATGTCTGTTTCACTCAATACGGCTTCAGGTTTGTAACCTGTTTCAAACACAAGTTCTATGGACAAAGAAAAGCTCCAACAGCATTTTGCTTCTTTTGAGCCTAAAGTGTTTGTAACTTTAGGGAAAACATCGGTTTTGATGATGTGCAGTATCCATGCTTGAATTATTTGAGAGATCAGAATTCCATTTCTTCTGCAGGACGTTCCTACTAAATTGGTGGCAAAAGCAGTCCCCTTGCCAATGACAGTGCGTGGTCATTGGTTCTTAAGTCCCAGAACAGAGTATACTGTGGCTGTTCAGACTGCATCAAAGCAAAGTGATGGAGATTATACGGTCTCAGACTGGAGTGAAGTTGTGGAATTCTGTACTGCAGGTAAAATTATATTTGAATGAATTTCTTAAAAAGGCCTATTCAGAGAGAAAATTCAAGCTCTGCAAAAATCCTATCATTTACCACTCTTGCTTTATATTTCTTTGGTTCAATTTGTCTTTGTTATGGGAAGTATCAGTGAAACAGTGACACTGAAAGAGAGATGTGATTTTGTCTTTGCCAAATTCTATATAGTAACAAATGGTGTGGCATGGGATTGGCACTGCGGCTTCAACTTGTTACAGTTTACATAAATGACTTGAAGGGACCGAAGGTACGGAGTCGTGAAGAGAAAGTAAGGAAGTTACAGTGGGATATAGATTGAGTGGGCAAAGATTTGAAAAATGGAATAAAATGTGGAAAAAAATGTGAACTTGTCCATTTTGGCAGAAAGAATAAAAATTAAGTGTATTATCTAAATGGTTAAAGATGAGGGAGCTCTGAAATGTGGAGGAATCTCAGCCTTCCAGTTTAATAATTGCAAAAGTTGGTTTGCAGGTATAGCAAGTAAATAGGAAAGTTAATCGAATTTTATTATTTAATGCAATGGGAATTGAATACAAAAGTAGGACTGTTATGCTTCAGTTCTACAGATTATTGGTAAGACCACATCTGTTCTAATGTGTACAGTATTGATCATCTTATGTAAGGAAAGATATATTCAAGTTGGAAGCAGTTTACAGAAAATTTACTAGATTCATACCCGGTATGGGCAGGATGGTTTTTGAGTAAAGATTGGACAACCTGGGTTTGGAATATTCCTTAGAGTTTGGGAGAAAGAAAGATGACTTGATCATAACACAAGATCCTGAGGGAGTGTGGATGTGAAAATTATGTTTCCTCTTGAGATAGTGATCCCTAGTTCTAGATTTTGTGTTTAAAAAACAATAAGAAGTTACCCATTTAAGACATGAGATTTTTTTTGAATTGTGAGAATCTTTGGAACTTTTTCCTCAGAAGGTGACGGAAGCAAAGTCTTTGAACATTAAGGGAGAGGTAGGTACATGTGTGATATTTTCCATGGTACTAATTCTTAAACTGATTTCTTTAAATTCCTTGTTCTTGCTGGATTTTCTCCTTTTTTTAAAAAAATTGTTTATTGTGTCATCTACTGAAAAGACAAACACAAAGGTATTATCTCTTCGATTTCCTTATTTCCCATTATAAGTGAAGTTATCTCTGGCCCACTTTTACTTGTATCATGGAATATTTAGTTTCCAACGGTTTTTTAGAATTAGGTTTTATTGTCATGTGTACTTAAATACAGGGATACAGGAGTACTGTAAAATATTTTACTATGCTGTCAATCATTGTGATATCTTAGGTAAAATGTAGAAAAATAAAGAAATAAGTTAAAAGTTCAACATGACAGTTCTTCTCAGTGTAAAGTAGTAAATAAGACAAAGTTAGAAGTTTCAAATTACAGTCCTTTATCCATGGGCCCGCAGTTGCTCCATGCTGGGCTTTCACACAAGGGCTTGATCTCTCCAGCGCTAGGCTCAATCTCTTAAATCCCACACTGCCATCTCGCTACTGACCACCATCTGGGCTCACCAGCCACCTTGCCATAGGTCACCAGAGTCTCGCTCCAGGGCCCCAGCCACAGCAGTGCCTTGTGACCCCCACTGTGTGTCCCCAGCCGCTGCCATCGCTGCCTCCATGACCAAGCTCCCTCCAGAAGGTAAGTTGAGAGAAAAAAAAACTTAGTGAGAAAAGAAGAAAAGCAGTAGGAGCAGACAAGCTCAGACTCAGGAGCCCTACTCCGCTGCCATCTTGGATCAGAGGGAAAAAAAACCTTTGACACTGTTCAACTGCATGTCAATGGATTTAGATCAAACCCATTCATTTCCCTGGCATTTATCATGTATCTTGTTGCAAATGCTTTGCATAATTGGTTTTAAATTTTGTCACCTTAGTCACTAGATCTACTGATTTTGTTCAACTCACTGCTCCTTCTTGATCCACTGCTTATTTTTACCCAAGTCGCTACTCTGCTGTCCTTTTCTCTTTAGACTTAATATCGGAACCCACCCTCCTCCTTATTAGTTTAAAATTCTATCACTGTAGCATTTGATTTATCGTGACACTGGCCACTTCTGCTGCTATCCAGAATGCTTCTCAGATGTGCATTGCCTTACCAATATAACTTCTATTCGGTTTGGAACATATGAAGAAGCTGCTTAACTCTGGACACCCTTTAAGCATCCTGAAGGGATTCTTCCCTGTGAACACCCTAGCTGACCTCTCAAATCATCCCCAATACCCTTTTTATAGTGCTACTCTGGCACAAAAGATGTAATACCTGCTCTTTTGCTGCCGCTTTCCTCACCATTCAAGGCCTGGAACTCATTTTCCAGATTAAACGTTGATTTATGGTGTACTTTTACACTGCTCACCATGCCATCTGCTCTAGATTGTGAAGAACGAGCACAACTTGATGATTGCTTTACAGACCTCTGAGAAAAACACATTCATTCAGTCTACAAACTTTTGGTGGCCTGCCTTTTAAATCTCTACCTAGTTTTCACCTATACCTGCACCGACTCATATTTCACTGAACTCAATACACTTCATCTTTCAATTAAATGCTTCACAGCCTTCAGGATTCAACATTTTCAGACTCTATTACTTGATCTTTCCTAATTTTGTTTCCTTTACTTTGCAAGTTGAATCCTTTGTTTTTGCTTTTGGATAGATTGATTAGATGGAAGCTGCATGGCCGCTTATCTGCTGAGCAGCTCTACAGACTCCAGTTGACGTGCTGATGCAAAGCTTCCCTGCATAAAAGTTTCTGCCACATGTAGACCTCGGGGATCTGTGCAGCAACGGGGATAATTTACCTTAGGGCCTATTTACCTTAGCATAAAGGACATTGACTTAGTGTTTGGGAGAAAAGTTAGAGGGAAGATGAGGAAACATTTTTTCCACCCAGACAGTGGTAGGGATCAGGAGCTCATTACTACCTGAAAGGGTTGATGTACCAGAAGTGCTCAAGTCATCAAACTAATGTCAATGGCTTCTTGATATGCATTTCAAGTGTTGTCGCCTTCAGGCAAGTGGAATTAGGCTGAGTTTTTGGCCCCACTGCAGACACAATGAGCTATGCGGCCTCTTTCTGTGTTATAACCCTTCAGTGATTCTGTTCTATGATTGCAGCTGGCTTTAGTTCAGTCATTCATAACTCTTCAAGACAAATTATTTCTTTACTTGTTCCATTATCACTTATCATTTATTGTTTTATCACTCTTTCATTTTTACAGCTGGTTTCCTTTTGTTCTTTTCTTATCACCCTAGTTCATCTGCTTGAAACCTATTACATTTACAATACTGAACTGGATGAAAGGTTATGAACCTGAAACATGGACTCAGATTTTCCAGTCCTAATGCTAAGATGTTTGCCACTATTGAGATTAGCAACTTACTTACATTGGCAAACCAGAAGTTTGGTATTCCACAAATGGTTTTGTGGGAGTTCCCACCAATGGTGCCAGTGGGATCTTTCAGCATGTAATTTGGACACTTACAGGGTGAAAGGTTCATCACAGTAACACCGTCTAACAGGCCTAAAACCTATGAATACTCTTCACAATCTCGTCACCCCACTCCTGCATCCAACTCATTCTCACAACCATCAGGGGGCACCCTCCCAAAAGCACCTCAGGGTCACTCCTCCCTTCATCACCTCCAGCTTACCCTTTCTTCTAATCATACACCCCTTCCTTGACATTCCAAGCTTCTTAATTCTCTCTCCACAGCTGCCACTTAACGGGTTGAATATATGTCTTTATTAAAATGGGAAATGTTTGTTTATTGAGATGAACACTTGTTTATTATTTGCTTTTGATGAAAACATTACTTTGAAATGAAAGCATGTGCATATGATTAAAATTATACTGAACTTCAAACCATGCTAAGTAATTGTTTCCAGAAGGTTTGTCAGTATAAAGTTGAACCATAATGCAGTGGTAATAATAAAATGCATTGTTTGTTCTACAGACTATTCCAAGGTTCACCTTACACAATTGATGGAAAAAGCTGAAGCGATTTCAGGGCGCATGTTGAAGTTTTCAGTTTTCTATCGTAACCAGCACAAAGAGTATTTTGACTGTGTTCGGTAAGAGAAAAAAAAAAATCACAAGAAAAGCTGCTTTAAATTTCTATTGTTAAAAGTTACATCCATCAGTTTTAGAGAAAGTACAAACTGCT